CCCTCAACCAAATGCATTCCAGTCACAGATCTGATTTTGAAAGAATAGCAAGCAACTTTTGGAGCACTTAGCAGTCACATCAGGTGAGTTGCGGTGAACATGCCCGCTGTTCTTCCACACCAGACACGTCCTGGAGAGAAAAGGCTGCGGGGTGAGATTGTGCTCAAAGAGTAAAGGCTGCCGCTTCCTTAACCTGTTCAGTCCTTTAGTCTACATTTTGTCCTTCTCTGCCTTCATCCTTTCTTCTTGTTCTCAGAGTCCTTATTTTGCTTTTATGTTTAATGTAGGACTTGAACACCCTTAAAACTTTTTTTTTGTGTTACAGAAAATGGCAGGAGGGGAGCAGAAAAAATTGTGACTGAAGTAATAGAAATGCTGAGACAAGCATACTCATTCGTAGATAACTAAAACTCAGTTGTGTTCAAATGCAGGTTTAATCGATGCCCAACTAGCAGAGAAGTCAGAGCCCTGGGGAACCTTAGGAATCAGAGAATTTAGCCTCTTCACTTCACAGGTGAGGAAACGATGTCCTGGAGGGAAGCCCAGAGCCATACAGCAAAGTTATCACTGGGGTCAAGGCTGGACCTTGGTCTCTTGACTTGTGTTTGGCACTTTGCATGATTGAGATGGAATTACTTCAGACAAATGGCAAACACATCCCATGACTTAGTGCTGTAATTGGTTTTTAAACTACTGTTTGCTTTATTCATAAAAATGAACTGTATTTCAAGTTAGGGGATTATGGTTGAATTATCAAAATATTCACTACAGATTTAACTTGCAAACTCCTCATACGTACATTGATAATAATCAATTTACAATCTCTTGCTTCCGTAGTCAGGGGGTTGGTTACTTGATGCATATGTCTGGTGGGATATCATGGCCTTGGATTTTGCAAGTATTTTTGATGGCATGAATAAATAATGAAGACATATCAAGTGAAAGTCTGAAATATATATACAGTATAATATCAGCATTGTGTTAAAGAAACAAGAATATTGATGCTTACAAAGTAAATAATAGTGGCTCTTTGAAGGTTAGGATTATTAGTAATCTTTATTTTACTTGGTTTTCAAGTTTTCTGTGAATTCGTATACTACTATTATAGTCAAATCAGTGAATATTATAAAATGGAACTTATAGTAATTATGCATATTATTTATATGTAATGGATTCATATTTCACTTTTTTTTCAGAAAAATGTATATGATAAAATGGCATCTTTGAATCTCTCTGGTGTAAATTATTTATATTATGACCTTTTCCTGTTCCTTGATTTTTCTGCTGTATACTTTTATTTAGTGTATTTTTATTCCTTAGGAAATTATTGTCCATGTGTCTCTGTTGTACTTTATCTGGTCTAAATAAATCAATACCGCTCTCTCTATCTTGACCTTGTCAGTTTTGTTCACATAACGCATGCACACAGTTGAGAAGGTTAAGTGACACTACAGGCCTTGATGACAACACAGCAGCTCCCGGCTCCACCTGTCCTCAGCCTGGAGACTGACGCCAGAGGGAAGGGGACAGCATGGAGCCGCCGCAGGGAACACTGCCTCCATGGTGCACAGAGACACTTGTGCAGCGTAGACAGCTTCTACTCTCCGTTACAGATGGAGGGTTAGCTCCCATGCCCCTCGAAGTCTTTCCTCTTATTTGCCCAGGGTGGTTAAACGACTATTCAGATGAATATCAGCAATTATGTTTGCACTGGTACTACTATGTAAATACTAAATATTGTCTTCCACAGACCAAATAATGAGTTCGCATTCTGAAAGTCCCTTTGTTTTCTGGTGGCTGTTGGTTTTCCCTTAACATCCTGTTTTAGTCCGTTAGTGTGCCCTGTGTATCTCTGAGCCTTCCCTGGCAGTCTGAGGCCCAGGCTCTGTGTCCTGGGGCCTGCTGGTTTGCCTAGACCCTGGGTTCTTCTGGCCTCAGCAGCACTGCTTTTTTACCCAGGCTTAGCTCTGCGGTGCTGTGCCTTGAGTGGGCATGTGGCCCCCATCTCTTCTACATCCCCAGACACCTTTCTTTCCTTCTGCTCTCTGTGCTTCTCCAGGCAACTCTTCTGATTCTTCCATCCCACCTGTGTTTGGGCTGGGTGCCCTGTAACACCCTCGTGTAACTTCTGTGCTCATCTGATTTTGGAATTGTTTATGCCAGTTGTTTTCCACATGTGGTCTGGGGTCTTCGAGGTCTTCTGAGAGCTTTCAAGGGCCTGAGAAGTCTGTCCTGGGTTTTCTACTGTAACCTCTGAAAATACCTACTGTTCTGCAAAGCAGCTGGGCTTGTGGGAAGCATAGCTTTGGGTGTACCATTCAAAGCCTGTGCAACCAGCTGTACCAGCAGAAACAACAATCTCAATAAAATCTCTAGCGCAGCTGTCTCTGCTGGGGTCTGGACCTGGCTTTAGTCAGTCGGTCCTCCACAGTCGTAACCCCGTGCTCTGACGTTTTGACATTTGACCTGCTTTGACATTCAGGCCCTGGATATCATTTTACTTGGAGACAGATGTCATTTTTATTTATTAAAAAAAATCTGAACCTGGTTATAGCCTTCATTAGTCTGTTTTAATTCATGGAAAATGTCTTATTGTTTTTTCATCTGTGTGCACAGTCCCCCAGATCACTTGAAGACACTGTCTCATTGTCTTACAGGAAGGTACTCTGTTCTCAGCTTTTTGTTTAAAGTTTTCATAAACTGCTGAGGTGTGCCTCTAAAGTGTGGAAGCTTGTCCCTCCCTGTCACTTCAGAACATGCACATATATTGTGACCACCACACCTTCATCTTTATCTCCACGTCATTACTCTGTATGTTGAATGTGAGCTCATTTTGTGTTGGGATTCTCTGGTGGCTCAAACAGTAAAGAATCTTCCCGCAATGCAGGAGACCTGGGTTCAATCCCTGGGTCAGGAAGATCCCCGGGAGAAGGAAATGGCAACCTACTTCAGTATTCTTGCCCAGAGAATTCCATGAACGGAGGAGCCTGGCAGGCTGCAGTCCACGGTGACAGTCCACAGAGTTGCAAAGAGTCAGACATGACTGAGCAACTAAGTAACTTTGATTTGTGTTAAAGAAACATACATCATAGCAGGTTGTACCTTATATTCCGGGAAGCCTTTCCCGACTTCCTCCTGCATTACCCTTTGAGCTTCTGTTCAGATCTGTTTGTCTTTCCTACCAGACTAGACGGAAAGGAGTCAGGGAAGTCGGCTTCCACAGTGTGTGGTGCGCCTGGCTGACAGAGTGGTGTTTTCGCCAGCCTTCTGAGGCCTGCGTCTCAGGCCTGTAGCAGTGGATTTGAAACATAGATGCCCTGCACTTTCTAAATGGAGATGTAATTTCCCGTGTTAATACTTGACTAACTGTCACCTGTAAGGGCTTTTCTGGTGGCACAGACGGTAAAGCATCTGCCTGCAATGCTGGAGACCCGGGTTCGATCCCTGGCTTGGTAAGATGCCCTGGAGAAGGAAATGGCAACCCACTCCAGTACTCTTGCCTGGAACATCTCATGGACAGAGGAGCCTGGTAGGCTACTGTCCACGGGGTTGCAACGAGTCGGACACGACTGAGCGACTTAACTTACTTACTGTCACCTGTAGTAGATGTTCCTAAGCTGCAGTGGACTCAGGGGCCTGTGGTAACTCAGGAGCCTTCTGAAATCGTATGCAGAACTTCCCATTTGTTCATTTAGAACAAATGAAATTTAGAGAGAGGGGAGTTTGTGATCAGTCTCAGAGCGGGGGAAGCAGGAGAAGACAAGAGGGGCTCAGGCAGTGGGGCAGCCTGGCGGTGAGGGGCCCTGCTCCTCCCGCTGCTTTTCCTCCGGTTCCTGGCCGGAGTGGGCGTCAGAACGCCTGTTTTTGGCTGCGGCTATTTCATTTCTCACTTTCCCCCTTGGCTGATTTATTAATTCAGAATTTAATTGACACACGAGTTTGCTTACTAACTTATTGAATAAAGCTTAAATTGTGTATTCAGTATCGAAATTCTTATTTTAACAACTTGTACTTATGTTTCCTTTCAAATATGCTGAGTTTGTTAAAGAAGTTTGTTGTGTGTGTGTGTATAACTTATGTTCTAGTGCTTAAACTATTAAAAGTTGTTAACAAAATTTGTGGTCTCATCATGACAGAATTTACCAAACAAAATACGTGTAAATATATGTATGTATATATATTGATTTATATACACACACATTTTAAATATGTGAGTCTGTTTTTAAGTTCCATTTTGTATTCAGTGATTAGGTAATATATTATTCTTTATGTTAACATTTTGAATTTATGTGGTGTATTTAGGAATTGTTAGTGGATTATTTAGTTTAGGAATTTTAAATGAAGTAACACATGCATATTTATCTAGGCTTTCCACACTGTAGACGTCCACGTGACTCAGTGATGACGAGCATGGTCTCTGAAGTCTAGACCACCAGGGACCTCACCCCAGCAGCATCACCTTCCAGAGCAGCGTTGTCCACTGTAGCAGCCACTGGTCACATGGGGCTGTTCAGCACTTGGAGTGTGGCTGGTGTGGCTGGCTGGATTTTTAGGTGTATTGAATTTAAATCAGCCTATGTCTAGGCAGCCCTGTGTGACCCATGGCTGCTATACTGGGCTTCACAAGATGAGGTGGCTTAACTCTTCTGTGTCCCAGGTTTCCTCTCTGGAGAGATGAGATCACACTTAAGCTGCCCTTTGTGGTGGTTTTAAGAATAAATACTAAATTTAAGGAGCTTAACTCTGTGCCTGGAAGAGAATATGTCCTTGAGAAGTGGTCGTTAGTTATGATGACTATTATATATTTAATAAACTAGAATTACTTTACTTTTGAGCATTCATTTAAACCTGTTTATTTTTATTCTTCCCTTTCAGGATTAATTTATTTTTGGAAATCAAGTGCAATATTAAAAGGAAAACAAAACCACACTACATTATTGGAAGCCATTTCTGCTAATTTTATTACGGTTTAAAATTTATGGTTTGATTTGAATACTATCATGGGAGGAGCTGTGAGTGCTGGGGAAGATAATGATGACTTAATTGATAACTTAAAAGAAGCCCAGTATATCCGCACTGAAAGAGTGGAGCAAGCCTTCAGAGCGATTGATCGCGGAGATTACTATTTGGAAGGCTACCGAGACAATGCGTACAAAGACTTAGCATGGAAGCATGGCAACATACACTTGTCAGCACCTTGCATTTATTCTGAAGTTATGGAAGCATTGAAACTTCAACCAGGATTGTCTTTTCTTAACCTGGGAAGTGGAACCGGATATTTAAGTACAATGGTGGGCTTAATTTTAGGTAATTTTATTTTTGTAAAATTCTTTTTTAAAAAGTAAGCTGGGTTTGTACTGCTGTTTCTGATTTACAGGGTTTATAACTTTGTATACAGCATATGTTTGAATGTATATTCTCAAAGTAGTTAACCTTCCTTCCTTAAGGTCAGAGTAGTCATCTTTTGTTATTTTCAGCCCTGACCCCCATAGTTAACTTTGCCTTCAGTGCTAGACGTGAAAAGTTCTTGGAACTGTTTTTGATCCCCCAACCACCATCTCTACTGTGCAACGGAGCAGTTGGCAGGTGGGAGGCTCAGGAGCATCTCGTAGCCTGCTTGGGGTCAAGCATCCTGACAGTGGCTGGGAGAGTTTGGTGGGCCCTGGTGTCCTTTGCTGAAGGGGGTGGTGCTGTGCTTGTTAGGGATCCAGAAGCCTGTGGGGGGCGGGAGATGGGGCACTGCTGGGGCAAAGCACAGGGCGGGGAAGAGGGGGAAGAGTGTGGGTCATTATGTGTCTGCCAAGCGTTATTTCTAAAGCAAGGGTACAGCAGTAATCAAAAGGGACAGATACCGCTGCCTTCACGAAGCTTCCTCGTGCTCACGATGAGGGGTTGGCATTGCTGAAAGCACTTGACACGGTCTGGTAACTTGTTTAGTGTTCCCAGTAACCCTGAGAGGTGTGTATTGTCATGGTTCCTGTGTGTTTAAACTGAGTCACCTTCAGTGACTTGCCTGTGGTCCCATAGCTAGGAGATGAGAGCTGTGAGGTTGAGCCTGCAGGTGGACAAAGCATGCCAGGGGAGAGACTGCTGAAAGACATGCTGACGTCAGGCGGAGGATGGACCATGGCTGTCACTGCGCCCCTTGGTGTTTGCTGGGCACCACCGCGTGACAGGCATCAAGGTGCAACACCAAGGCCCCTGTGACACAGACTTGCCCTGGGGTTTGCAGACTAGACTGGCGGAGGTGGAGAGACAGAAAGTGAGCGGTTCTTATCCCATGTGATGTGTCCTGTGGCTGGGGTGTCTTCCCAGGTTACAAGGACAAGGCTGTGGCTTACAGTTCACTCTGGAGTGCTGGGGAATCATTGGAGGACTTCAGAGAAATGACTGTGATCCCCCTGTGACTAAGCAGTCTTGATTTTTTTTGATTATCCTAGCGTCAGTATTAGTAATGTCCTTTTCTTTACCAAAGTGTCCCAGTTTGGACAGTAAATTATGTGCTCACATCGTATGGCTTCAGTCATTTTCAAGCCTGAAATCCCATTGCTCTGTGCTGGCTGTCTCCATACTTTTTCTCCCAGTCGTGGAGCCTGTAGTTGTTTTACTTGAAGCCTGTTTATCCCACTAATGAGTCAGTTCCTGATACGTAGTAACTTGTCAGAAAGGTGACATTATTCATTTTTGCCCAGAGAGAAGTTAAGCAACTTGCATTTACGTTTGATGATCTCTCTGATTTTGAGATAGCATTTTCATCAGGTTGGGAATCCCAGAAATCCAACTGTTGTATCATGAGAGCCTCTAGAAAAGGGATCCAGGGTTTGACAGGGTGTCCAAATCCAAGGAGCAGAGGGGAGTGGTAGAGAGAGCTTCTTCCCAAAGTGGGCTTGCTGTCCTTGAGCCAGTGTGCTTCTTTACCAGTTCTGGCCACTAGGGCTGGAGTCCAGCCTCAGATGAGCGTTCTGCTCCTCCAGCTGGTTAGCTGGCTCCTGCTGCAGGCCGGAGTTTTAGCCAAAGGCCTGGAGGGGAGAGAAGGAATCGGCAGTCTTGCTCACTCAATCCATTCCCTAGTCCTGGTCCTTAAGAAATGGGCTTCCTGGGGCTAACTGCCTTTGTGGGCCAGCCGCCAACTTTATTGTGTCTTTTTTTTAATTGGAGGGAAATTGCTTTACAACGTTCTTTTGGTTTTTGCAGTACAACAGCATGAATCAGCCATAATAGTACATATATCCCCCCCTCTTGAGCTTTCCACACCTCATCCCACCCCTCTAGGTTGTCACAGAGTGCCAGGCTGGGCTCAGTGTTACTCAGCAGCTTCCCACTAGCTGACTGTTTTACACATGGTAGTGTGTATGTCAGTGCTACTCTTCTTAATTTGTCCCACCTTCTCCTTCCCCTGCTATGTCCACAAGTCCATTCTCTATGTTTGCATGTCATTCCTGTCCTGCAAATAGGTTCATCAGTACCGTTTTTCTAGATTCCATGTATGTGTGTTAAATTTGTTGTGTCTGGAATGTTTCCTCCTCCAACCTGAAGAAAGTGTGGAAGCACAGACCCTTGTGTGGCAGTCCACAGGGAGGACATCTGCTCCCAGGCTCCAGGGAGTCACATGCGTTCAGTCACAGGCATGACTCCCCTTACTTTATATTGTCCAGGGATTCCTCTGTGTGTGTTCCTGCAGTCAAGATCAAGATATAATTTCTCTCCTTTTGATGGGAAAAGTGTTTGATGAGAAAGATAAAGACTTTTAAAAAGGAAAGAAAGAACAGAGCCTGTAAAATTGTGATTACAGTTAATAAATCTTGGATTTCGCCAGCTTCTGAGAAGCTAATCATTTTCCCCCTGCTCCCCTTGTTTGGTTTGAGTTTCCTGACCTTTTAATTAAATCAAGGAGGGGACACATCCACAGAAATCACTTAGCACTCACTCCAGAGGAGGGTGCTTACATGCGCCCTGTAATTATTTGAGTGTGGTGCCTTAGGTTGGGCCGCAGTGCTTCCCATGACCTTGTCTTACTAAGTTCTGCTAGCACCCTGGCGCTCAGCCCTGCACTTCAGTCACAAGACGAGAGTGACAGGTGCTCCCTGGCAACAGAGGCTGTCATCCAGGGTTGTGCTGGTGTAATCTGGGGGTCCAGGCTGAAGCGGGCAGAGTGGGGGTCTGCGGAGGAGGCCTCTTGAGGAATCTCCACCTTGCAGTCTGGAGAGCTCTTACTCAGTGAGAGGAGTTAGGTTTATTCTCACTTCAGGAGATTTCTCATGATTAAAGTACACTTGAAGCAGTTATTCATAAATGGAATTTATTTTTGCCCCATACAGAGAAGATGGATGATTCCAGGTTCTAAATTATACCTCATTTCAGATAACTTGTTTAGTTTCCAGTTGAAGATAACATTCATATTCTAAGAGTCTTCCTGTGAAGAACTGTCACAGAGAATCTAGTCCTTCATTTTGAGAGGTAATCCATTTTGAGAGCCCTTCCATCACCCCGTGGATTCCCTCCCCCAGCCCCTGGCAGCCACTTGCCTCTTTTCTGTCTCTCGGTTTCCTTTTCTGTGCATTTCATGTCAGTGGAGTCATGTGGCATGTGATCTTTCTGTATGATTTCTTTACCTGAGTGTTAGATTTTCAGGACTCACCTGTGCTGTAACATGTATCATTGCTCCATTCCTCTTGGCGGCTGAGTAACATTCTGTTGTGTGGGTAGACTGCATTTGTTTGTCCTTTGACCATTTGATGCCTGTTTTGAATGATGCTGATGTGAACATTCATGTATAAGTCTTGGTGGAGCTGTCCATTTTCATTTCTCTCAGGTGGATTCCTAGGAGTGAGATTGCTGGACTGTTGATGGTAAGTTTGTGTTTAACTTTTTAAGAACTTGCCAAACTTTTCTGGAGTGGCTGCACCATTTTCTGTTCCCACCAACAATGTATGAGGTTCCAGTTTCTCCATATCTTCACTGGTGGTGTTTTGTTTTATTTTAAATAGCATCTTAGTGGGCATAACATGGTCTCTTGTGGTTTTAACTTGTACCTCTCTGGTGACTAATGATGTAGAGCATATGTTCCTGTGACTTTTGGTCATTCCTCCATCTTCTTTGGTGAAATGTCTATTCAGCTCTTTTCTCCATTTTTAAATTACATTGTTGGCATCCTTATTATTAATGAGTTGTAAGTGTTCTTTTAGTACAAGCCCTTTTTCAGAAGTACGATTTTCAAGTCTCTCTTCATTTCCTTTTAAGCATCCCTTTAGAAAACTCATGTCTCCCTTGAGGCCTGAGAGTGAGGGAGATCCAGAGGGGCCTCCTTTCCCCTATCCCTTTTTTTCTGGACAGAACACAGTTCTGCAGGTTTCCATGGTTCTTTCTAAGGCAGATTCTCTTCTTTGCATTAAGCCAAACTTCAGTTTTCCCTCTATCTTTTTAACCCTACTTTTTGTTAAAGGAATTACAAAGACTATTCTTGGTATGTGCTTTATTTTGGGCTCTGAGTAAATCTGTTTTGAAAAGAACCCTTTCCTTTAGGCTACTAAGATTTTCTGAAATCAGTAAAGCTCCTTACTATTTAAACCATTTCTTCTTAGTCCTAGTTAGGCTTCTGTGCATCTTTTTTCTGTCCATATACCCTGTATCAGGGACTTCCCAGGTGGCTCAGTGATAAAGAATGCATCTGCCAGTGCAGGAGCTGCAGGAGAGTCGGGTTTGATCCCTGGTTTGGGAACATACCCTGGAGGAGGAAATAGCAACCCATTCTAGTATTCTGCCTGTGGGAAATCCCATGGACGGAGGAGCCTGGTGTGCTATACTCCATGAGATTGCAGAGAGATGGGCATGACTGAGCATGCACACACATGCACAGTACAAGTTTTAGAAATTTTGCAAATTTTTACAGTAATTTGAGTATATTTCCTTAGAGGTTGAAAGGCAGTTCCTTCAGTGCTGTGAAGATGTCAGGTGGATCTCCTGTCATCGTGAGGCATCTTGAGTTTTTACCTTCAGGCTTAACTCCCCAATTTGCATTATCTGTCAGCTGAGAACAGTTGAGCTGGAATTTGCTTCCTTCTGAAATGTGTCTGTAACCCTCACATCAGTATTCGTCATTGGTGCATGTGTTTGGGGATGGGGGACAGAGTGAGTAGTTCTGTGGACATGGTCCCCCTGGGCCGGGTCAGGGGGGCAGTCCTGCTCGTGCCTCAGGGCAGTGGCCAGAGGATGCAGTCACAGAGTGATGCACACAGCTATGGTCCTGGGCCAGTTTCTTCTGGAGCTCATTTCTTTCATAAAAGAAAACAGACTCTTCTAGGGTGAGT